CGGGGGCGGCATCGAGGTGGTGGTGGTGTTGTGGTGCGGCTTCTTGGTCGTGGGCTTGGGCGGCGGCGGCGGCGGCTTGGGGGAGTCGGTGGGCGGGCACCAGGTGGTGGTGTTGTGGTGCGGCGGCGGCTTGGGCGTGTGGTGCTGCTTCTTGGTCGTGGGCGGCGGCGGCGGCGGCTTCTTGATGGTGGTGGTCTCGCACACGGTGTAGGTCGTGGCCTTGGTGACGGTGTAGGTGTGGTTCTTGTGCGTGAACGTGGTGGGTTCCTGTTTTCGTGCGAGGGGTGTGTTAGTATATGTGGGTTTGTGACGTGCGTCTGTCGAGGGGCTGTGGGGGTTGGCTTACAGGACAGTACGTGGTGTAGACGGGGATGGTGATGGTGGTGGTGGTAAAGTGCTTGCCGGTGGCGGCGACGGTGGCGGCCAGCCCGGCGGCGGACGTGACGGAAAGCAGCCTCATCTTTGTCTTTTTGGGCTTCTCTGTTGCGGGTTCCTGAAGAGCGGGGAGCGGGGTGCAACAGCGAGTGTTGGTATAGCAGGTAGAACCAAAACGAGGGTTGGGTTTCTCTGAGCGAAGGTGGTACGAAAAAGCAAAGGTTTGAACAACGAGTGTCACGGGTATCCTGGGGTTGCAGAAGAGAGGTGACGCAAAGGCCGAGATGGAGGGCGGGCATGGTGCGTTTTATACAAGTGGCTGCCCAAGGCAGGGAGGGCGAGGGACAGAGCAGGAGATTCTCCCTGTCCCGCCCTCGGTCCCTCGACGAATCCTACCGAGGACCCGCCCTCGACGGCGACTGACAGCACCAGACGAGGTCGACATGGGTGATGCGATGCAACCAGGCAATGGGCCGAGTCGGCCTGGCAGAGGACGAGATGGTGCGGTGTGGACGCTGAACGAGAGCCACCTTGGCCACACCCACTTACACGCACACACACACACTCTCTCTCTCTCACTGACACGCAGGCAGCTATCCAGATTCGGCAACTGCACAAATCGATAATTGCGCGAGGGGTGGGACCTCGGCAGCCGGGCTGGTGTGCTCGCCCTGCAAGGAAAGCGACCTGGACAGAGAGGGCGTCGAGGGCGGGCTATCGCTCTGCCAAGCTTCGCTACCGGCCAAGTTCTAGCCGAGTCGTGCAAGTACCGCCGCCAGCGAGAAGAGCCGGCGTCGCGACAAGTAGAAGCACCCGATATTGGTCGGGCACCCATCAATACGAGCTCTCGTCAACACTAGTCGGTGCGTGGGGCCCCCCTCTTCTTCCTCTCGTCCAGCGAGCGACAGGGAGTCGGGAAGAAAGGCAGATGGAAGGCAGAGTGGCGGGCGGAGCGAGCTGCCCAGAAGGCGGTGCCTGGATGACGATGATAGGGCCGGGGGTTGAAGGGTGGGTGGGATTAGAGGAGACCTTCCTCGGTGGTTTGGTTTGGACCCTTGCAGATGGTGTGGTGTGATAAGGCAAGGCGACGCCAACCGACTGACAGACTGACAGACTGACATGCAGCAGACTGAACAGAGGCACATGCGCCCCCACACACACAACTACGACCAAAAGGGCTGACGCCATTGGTGGGCGGGGTGAGCTGCGGCCGCTTTGGGAAAAAGTGGCTGCAGAGTACTCGCATTTTTCCCTGGTCTGATGGTGACTTGTGCGATGGGGCAGTGTGGGCAGGCAGCAAAAAATGAGGACGATAAGAGAGGAAAAAAAAGGGAGTGGCGGGAATAATCCCCTCAATTGCGCCCGTCAGCCTCGACCGTAGTGGCAGTGACGTTTCCTTGCCCACCTCGGGTTTCTCCGCCCATGCAAAACTTTTTTGTCCGTATCGAATCAATGGAACCAAATCAATGGAGCCAAAATGGAAGCCACCCATGACTCCGCCCTCGCCCGGCAGCGCGGCTATTACGAAGGGATCGATTCGATTCGATTCTCGTGTGTCACCTCAGCTGATGCCTTCCAACACGAAAAGAGCGGCTGGAATGGACGACATCAATTGATCGAATGGCGGGATCCTCCCACGTGACTCACCTCACACTCTCGTATTTTTCTTCCCTCTCACTTCCTTCTATCCAAAACCCCCTCCCCTCTACACCCCCGCATCAAACGGAAGCTCCGGCGCCAGCAGCTCCTCCTCGGTCCCGTGCAGGCAGTGGCCGTTGGGGTTGGATCCGTTTTGCATGGGCCAGATCTTGGACGGCCACGGCGTGACGGCCGGGTGGTTGCAGTTGGCGTAGGCCACGATGGCGCTCCAGCCGCACGGGTGCCGCCACTCGCCGCTCACCCGCTGCTTGATGATGGAAATGGGCTGCCCCGAGCAGCAGACGTTGGCCGCCCTGAGCGCCGGCAAGACGTCCCATATCGTGTTTACCGTGATTTCGTGCAGCCTCGCCTGTTGTTGTTGTGTGTGTCGATCTATGTCAGTCTGCCGTTGGGGGGTAGGAGGAAAAAAGAAAAAAAAGGGAGGGAAAGAGGGACAAAGATACGGGAAAAAGGAGGAAAAGAAAGGGAAAAAAAACGCACGTTGCACATGTACAGGCCAGTCGTGTTCCAGCACTTGATCCGAAGGCACGTTTTGGGAGGGATCGTGATCTCTGTTTTCCAGTCATCGTACTCCATTTTATGTGGCGTTTCCGAGATCAGCGTCCTGGCGTTGGGCATCCAGCCGGTGTCGTAAATTCCACACCAGCGAGCTAATATGCCGAATGCGTGTCAGCCGGTTCACGAAAAAGAAAAAAACAAAGAAAAGAGAGAAACGTGTCTTGCAAGTGGGATTTGGGGGAGGAGATCTCTCTCACTTCCGTTCAGCGGCCACGGCCGCTTGTACTCATCGTGGAGCCTCGCATCGTATTTGCTAATCCTCCATCCGTAGTCGTCCGCGTCACACCACTTGAACGGGTAGGCCTTATTTGGCTTGTAGGGCGGGGCGGTGCCGCCGCCTTGGCAGTCGGAGTCCTGCAGCGCCGCACCCGCCGCGGGCGATAGCTGGCTCAGGGCCCAGAGGGCAAGCGTCAAATTGATGGGTCGCATGGCAAAAGGACGTCGGTGACTTGGCAGCGGATCTACCGGCACGACCGGGACTGCTAGAACCGGATGTGTATTTCTAGGACCTGTGTGATATATAGCCGGCGTGAAGGTTGTGGCATCTTCTAGCTTTTCGGAATGTGGCCTCTGTTCGGTGGAAGACTGACATGCTCTGAGAGTTACATCTCTCAAAACGCCGTGGTTTTGAACTTTGTCATCGTCTGTGGCCTGCATGTCTGCGCTTGGTCAATGACCCAGGGGGGGTGCGTCTGTAAAGGTTCTAGTGCTCACGAGGTAGATGTCTGGATATTACGAAAGAAATAGTATAAACTGCAAACATGGCCTGAACTCTCATTAGATGCCGGCGTATTGGTTCATGGGCGCAACCACTGGAATGAAATGGAAGATGTGTTCATTTTTTTTTGCCCCCATCACTCAAGTATAAAAATCTGTCACAGAGGAGGCACTCTATACAGTTTGAAGGAAGCCTTTGGCACGGGTATCAACTGCCTGAGGCACCGGAAGAGCGGTCCCTTTCCCTGTGAGTAAGCAAGGAGGACAGGGACCCCTACGGGTCCCTGCACTTGAAATCCCCTTTCTCCTTGGAGTAAATCAACCGGAATAGCCTCACACCGTGCCATCCCTTCTGCCTGCAACAAAATCCTAAACCTACGATTCCTTTCAAAAACACACGCCCCACGTGGGCGCTCCTCTCAGGAAAGTCGCGCTTCCAAACACTAGGTAAGTGGACCACAGTCCGTTCCAGCCGGCCGTGCACGATATCCCGAGCTTAGTTGGGCCACATGGCCGGGCCGGGCATGGGCGCAAAATTGGGCGGGGGGTTGGCCCAGCTGTCGAGCTGGAAGGCCGGGTCCGAGGCCTTGTAGCCGCCGGGGAACTTGATAGTGGGGCCCGGGGCCTTGCCCGTGTAGCTGCTGGCGACGTCGAGGTGGGCGCACTGATGGTCGGGCGTGGGGTTGAGTGGTCAGAGGATGGCCCGTGTGTCTTGTGAGAAGAAGCGACGACGCTCACCATCATGTAAAGCTCCTTCTGCCTGTAGGGCTGGTGGATGGCCATGTGCTCGATGCGGATCAGGTACTGGCCCGCGGGGATCTGGGCAGGCAGCTTGAACTCAAAGTTCGTCTTGAAGCGGGTGAGCCAGCCATCGTCCTTGCCGTTCCACGGCATCTTGGTGCCGAGCTGGTACACCTTGAACCAGTCGCCCGAGCCGTCGTAGTCGCGGACGTCCCCGGGCGCCTTGGACATGTAGATCTGCAAGTTGGAGGGGGAAGGGAGGATATCAGCAGCGGTGTCCTTGCATCTCCAACAGAAACTATATGGCACCCAAGACGAGACCTACAGTTATGGGCCCCGGGTGGAAGACGTCGGAGCCGCCAAGGGCGGTGCGGAAGCCGACCGAGTCGACGCCGGCCGTGACGCGCGCCGTCTTGGGCTGGCGGCGGTGGTTCCACGAGCCCTTGTTGCAGCGGATGTCGTTGTTCGTCAGGATTTCCGGGGTCTTGAGCGGCATGAAGCCGTTGTCGTGCTCGCGGTTGTACTCGTGCGCGTTGGTCACGCGCCCGTTGATGATGAGGTGTGGGAAGAGGTAGTGGGCTGACGAGAGGGCGGGGAGGAGCGCCGTGACGGCGGTGACGGTTAAGGAGAGCTTCATGGTTGGAGATGGGCGGCTGAGGAGACCGGGGTTGAGGGAGGGTTGGTGACTGGTTAGGGGATGATCTGTATGGCAGTTTGGTGGCTAGAAACATGTCTTTATATGGACTTTTTGTCGGGCAGTGAAGCCGCTTGCACGACTTGGACCGGTAAGAGAGCGTCTCTGATATCTACATTCAGGTCTATCGTTCTCGGGTGTCTTCGCCTCCGCACTTAATGGTAGCACTTATTGGTTTAGCCGGCCATCTCTTCTCTTGCTCTTTGCATCCCGATCTCGATTTCCCCCAATGAGGCATGTCGGACCCGGAACCAGAGATGGCAATCGCAATCGCACAGAAGCAAAGACTGGCACGAACACATTGCGGCCTGGATGGAAACCACTCCCATACACCTCGATCGTGCTTTTTGCTGGCCAGAACTCGCGGTATGTCGGACTGAGGCGGCAAATGGCATCGATGTTGCATTTGGAGTCGAACCGGCTCCGGTAGTTTCGACAAAACTGCGGGGTCGGTGTCACTTCGGACGGTCGTCGACATGGACTGTTTGGGCAAGGAGCTTGTCTCCATGCCAAGATGTTGTACTGCAGCAAAGCGTAGCCAGTCTCGTGGTCTCTGGGAGTCTCCTAACCACGTCCGACTAACATCAGGTCGCATCTAGTAGAACAGCGAATTTTGTGCCGTCGTAGAGAGGGACGCCCCATATTCTGTTACATTAGATTAGGCATCGCGGGTCGGGAGATGGTGACTAGGGCTACGATGGCAGTGTGGTAGAGTGGCAGAGTTGACTCGGGCGTCATTCGAGCTGGCCTTACATGACGATTTGACTCTAGGGGGCGCGCTGAGAAAGAAGGGACAAAACGGAGAAAATGCCGGCCTTGCGGGGGCCATGGACGTGCAGTCCACGCCCCATGGGCACTCACGCCATCTCAATACCGTCCGCGTGAGCGTATGCGGACAGATACACCCCTGGAGCAGACGGGTCGTCCTGCCTCCTGCCGGGAAGCCGTTTCGGCCACTGCCAGGTGCGCCATTTCCAGATGCTCCAGTGCCAAATCCTGGCCTCGGGCATGTTGAGATAAAAACCGAACGCTAGTGCAATGACAATGAGGCCGGCGCTGATGGGGCCTGTGGTATTTTGACGGAGTGGCTATATGTGAGCACTTTTGCTGTATGGAAAAGGGGGCGGCTTGCAAGATACGCACCTCCGTATTTCCACAGGTCGGCGGTTGAGGGGTTTTTGGGATCTCCGGTTATCTCGGACACGTTTTGGCCGAAAAAGGAGGTGAAGAAGGACAGCGGGAGCTTGGAACGTAGTGTTTACTATCAGTTTGGCTTCTCGATAGATAGGAAGAGGGGAAACGCATACAAAGATGATGGTTATAATAGTGAACAGCATGATGGCTAGGCCCTGCTTGGCCGCTGTCTTGGCCTCGGCGAGGTTTGCCGCTGCTTGCTTCAGCTCCAGCAGGGCAAGAAGCTGAGATGGTGTCAGCTTTTGGTCCTGTGAATATGAAAGCCAAATATTGACGGGGCTATCCCTTTCCCTACCTGCTTGTGAGTCCCCTGTACGTCCTCCTTCAGCTTCTCAATCTCGGCCTTCCTCGACGACAACCTCTGCAGCGTCTTGCCTAGGATCACACCGCCCAGGCCCTTGATCTCGTCATCGTCGATGGCGAACTGGTTGGCCGAGTCGATGTCGAAGTTGATCTTGCCCGAGTTGACGAGCCCGTGGATGTTGATGACGGTGGTGGCGCCATTCTGGGTGTCCTCGAACTGGCGCTCGCCCTGGGTGCTCTTGCGGTGCAGCTTGAGCAGCGCCATGCGCAGCGCGCGCAGCACGTCCTCCTGCTCCTCCATGAGCCGCTGCAGGATGGTGAGCTCCTCGAGGATGTCCGACACCTCCATGGTCAGCTTGAGCTCGCCGCGGCTGCTGAAGCTCGTCGAGCGCGTCTCGGTCGAGTCGTAGAACTTTTGGAATAGCACCGTCTGCTGGGCCGCCTTCTTGCCGATGGCCCAGCGGTAGATGCCCAGCACGTCGCCGAAGACGCGGTTCTCGGGCGCGAAGAGCGACGTCACGGCGTTGCCGGCCACGAGCGAGTAGAGGTCGTAGACGGTGCGGCACTTGCCCGACTGGTCGCAGACCCTGTTGTAGACGTCGGCGAAGCGTGCCGTCTCGCCCCGGTGCTGGAACTCGTGCGAGGGGAAGAAGGATACCATGGAGCCTGTGGGAGGTATTTCTTAGCTAGGAAAAGTGGTAAAAGCGAACAGGGGAAGTAGAGGAGCTCCTACGGTCGTCTAGGATCCACACCCAGATCTGGTCCACGATGAGAAGCAGGCTGTCGCGCGCGGCCCTGTCTCGCCCTTCCTCGCCGGCGTATGCGCCGGTCCATTTCGAGACGGTCTGGTCCGCGTCCCGGGCCCGCGTGTCGCTGAGGGAGGTGTAGAAGAACTGGTCCAGCGACCGGCGGAGATGCAAGGGGGACCCACGGAACCAGACGGGCTCCGAGGGGAGGAAATCGACGCCCTGGACCATGTACTGCTCCCAAAAGTGCTTGGCCATCTCGTAGTGCGGGCCCATGCGGACATATTCGCCGTACTGCTCCCAGTTGAGGTAGGGAAGCTACAAAGCGTGTTAATTTGGCGGAATGGTGCGGCGCATCGCCAATCGTACCCCTATGTACAGTACAAAGGGGAAACCTACAAACAGAGAGACCCAGCCCTTGGCGTCGCTGTCTGACTGGTCCCCATTCCAGCCCAGGCTTCCCGTGGACCGACGCCGCTTCAGCCTTTCGATGGGTTTGTTCTGGACAGTGGTTGCACGCTGGGGCAGATTTTCCATGGAACTACTCTTGGGGTCTTTTGCCCCCGAACTACTCGGAATAGAATCTGGCTCCATGGGTATGGTACTTTTCCTCGATATGTTTGTGCTTTCACGTCCTGGATGAGAGCTTCGTTAGTTCCACCCTCCTGAGGATGCTCCGGCGCGCAACTCACGGAGCCCACGGAGCCCCGATTCGCACGACGGATCCATGAACTGGGAGTGCGGAGGGACGGGGCCGGCCAGGTTCGGCCTGCTCAGCTTGCGCCGCCACTCCTTGACGTTGTCCTCGAGCGGACGACCTGACATCTTCTCTAGGCAGGGCTTTTTGGAGGAGACGGTCAGCTTTCCGGTTCAAGGTATGGTGTCTAGTGGCGGGATTACCTCGACCCACGCCATGTTGTTCACGGGAACGTGAAGCCAGCGAAAAACGCTGTTCTTGGCGCTGGGCGGGATGTCCTCCCGGCCCTCGAGGAGGTCCTCGACCGTGATCTCCTCGATGCTCACGTCGACGTCGCGGGCGCCCGGCGAGAGGGTGAAGTCGTGCAGGTGGCAGCGCACGCCCTCGCCCTTGAGCAGGCGCGGCGCGTTGGCCTGGCGCTCGAGATTGATCGTCACACCGCTTGCCGCTGGGGAGGTGGCCATCGCCGCGGCGGTTGCTGCTGTTGGTTACTGGTTACCGGCGGTTTGGGAACTTATCCAGGCGCTGGGTCGAGTCGCTGGACTAGTCGCGCCTCAACGGTGGTGGTGTCCAAGGCGATGGCGGCTGGGAGAGTCCAGCGTCTTGTGCTCTCGCGCCAGGGCATTTGGCATTTCTTTTGGTCGCGTAGAAGAAGCAAGAGGGGACAAGGGTGGCACGCGACAGAACATGGCTGCGCCCGGTGAAAGCGCGCTTGTTGTCTGCGCATCTCAGACTGGCGGCCACCTGTAGCTTCCAGTTGTTCAGCCAGCGGTGCTAGTGACGTGGCGCACGTTGTGGCTGGACCGCTATTGGAGGAGGGCGTTGATGGATGCATGGGGGAGAGGTGCCTTGGACCTGTCACTGGCTAGCTCATGCATCCTTGGGCTGGGTCTGGTGTCCACCACGGAGCGAGCCTTGCCCTGAACGGGTTGCTGTGCAGGGAAGGAGTGGGTATTACTGCTGAAGACTTGACGACTGGTGAGGAGTCGCTCCTGCCTTGCCCCCGAGTGAAACCACCAATCGACTCGACAAATGAAATCCATTTAACGTGTGTATAGTATGGAACATGGCATATTAATTAACTATGATAAAAGAGACCAGCTGCTGTTCGCCCACGTCGGTACTTTTCCTAAATCATATTCCTGATGCTCTTTTCCCTGTCGGCGTCCTCGACAGAGACGGTGATGTGCGTCGTCGCCGTGATGCCCCTCGGCGACGGCGGCATCGACCGCCGCCCGAGTGTGGCTGCTGGATGATGATGACCTCCTCGTCCGAGGTCCGCCTCTCGTGCGATCTGCTGACAGCCATCACGCCCGGCATCATCAGGGACGGGTCCACGACCGACCACGGCACCTTGCGCCCGCTGCTGGTGGGCGAGTACATCTCAAAGTCCTCGCCCGACCCGCCGTCGATGCCCGTGATGCTGTACGGGTCCGCGGCCTTGCGCCGCGCGCTGCTGCTGCCGTCGGTCCCGAAGCCCTTGGACCGCAGGGCGGCGCCGTTGCTGCGGCGGTCCCGGCTCGCGCTGGCGTGGTGGCTGCTGGCGTTCTTGCTGACACCGCTGCCGCTGCGGCTGGCGTCGGCGCTCTGCATGTAGGGCTTGCCGCAGCTACAGACGTAGTTGGACGGCGGCTTGCTCCCGCTGCCGTACCGCCGCGTCGAGGCCAGGATGCGCTTGAAGAGTGACTTGAGGCACGGGATCGAGCCCGCGATGATGGCCACGGCGATCTCGGCCGTGAACTAGATTGATGTCGGCCGTGTCCCACAGGTAGTCGCCCAGGAGGCCCCATTTGGTGAGCGCGACCGTCTTGGTGATGGCGGCCGCCACGGTGCTGATGGGAGGGGACGTGTGTCAGAATGGGCGATCCCACGAGGAGCGAGTGTGAGCAAGCAGGGAGACTCACAAGAACCCGAGCGAGAGGATACCGATGACGGCAAACTTTACCCTCCGCGGAAGCTGCACGTTCCACAGCATGGGGATCGGCAGCGCCGCCAGGGCAAAGTCTATGGTGCACGAAAGGGAAGACGAGACGTAGGAGGAGATGACCAGGTATGTCTGGGACACACACTGACCTCCGACGATGGACTTGTCCCACGTGAAGGCCATGGGCGTGCACTGCGTTAATGCTTGCGCTGTTTGCCCACGTTGGCGTCAGTACTCCCGCTCACTACTGCGTCCCCTCTTTGCTTCCGTCCTGGCCGTGCAAGCTAAACTTACCGATGCCGACGACGGTGAGGAGCGCGGTGATGACAGCCGCGATGTGGATGGCCCACTTGACCAGCCTAGACTAGGCGAACCTGAACAGGAAGAAGCAGACGCTAAGACGGGCAAGCCTCAGGGCGGCGAGCACGATGGGCTGCGTGGCGAAGTTGTAGAACATGGCGCGGACGAAATTGTCGGGGGCGATGTACTCGATGTGGCGCCCGGCTCCCGCGAACACCTGGGGGATGACGAGGCCGATTTCACTGGCGAGGACAATCTTTTTACATGTCACCATCTCGTGTTAGTTCAGAGGATACGCTCGATGAGTTGGGGGAATGAAGAGGAGCTGACTGACCACTGCGAGAACCATTAGGTAGTCCTCGATGGCGAGGCCGTCGCTGTGATTGAACTTGACGTAGACGCGGAGGGCCACGACGATGAGCGCCATCACCGTGACGGCGATGGTCGACCCGATGATCTCGCCGCCCCTCGACTCGTCCGCCCGCTCTCCCGGCAGGTAGACCTTGAAGGGTGGCGGCGGCGGCGCGGCCGCTGTGGTTGAGTTGGACATGATTTCGGCCGTTCCAAAAGCTTGCCTCACGGTCCTTCGCGTCTGTGGGTGGCAAGGAAGGTGTGTGCGTGCCGGCTCGGTCGTCTCGGTCCGTTCCTGGTGCTGATCTGATCCCCAAAGGACAAACAAACAGCGAGGGGAGGCTTGGGCAAGTCGGCCAGGGGCGACACGGGATAGATATGTCTTTAAGGTCTCTTGCCTTTACCACACGCCCCTCCAGGAGACCAGGTACGTAAATCACCTATCTCGAGTACCCCCCGGGGCTCCATCATCTCGTTACTCTAGCCCCATTGTTCTTATGGCTGCCGAGGCATGAGGCCGTGCACACCCAAGAATAATACGGCATTATTACTCGATCAGTAGGACCAAGGTAACCATAGCCCGCGCGCCGCTGATCGCCCTGGAACGGACCCCGGGACCGGCAACCCTGCCGAGCACGCATGGGTTTGTCGGTCACTTTTGGGGAGGTCTGTCCTATTGGAGGGGGCCTAGCTCCGTCGACGCCAAACCACGTTGCCTTACGAGAGCGTTGCAAGATGGCGTGCCCAGGAGACGTGGGTTCACCTTGCCGCGATGGGCTCCACTGCCCCCTGGTAGGAAGAGTCTCGTCGACGGGGTATGCCGCGCAGGGGGGTAAAGGTTCCTCTTCTGTCGTCACTGGCCGCGAACTCCAAGGTGGTAGCGAACAGGTATAGTTTGATGGGTAGGGACAGGGGTGGGACGTAATGCCGCGAGCAGCCCATGCACACACACGTAAAGGCACCGCGCTACGGATGAACATGTGCGGGGGTAGATTGACAGTCCCGATTATCATTGAGCAAGGACATGCCCCTTGTGGTGGCAAGTCTAGTCTTGGCACCTGTCTAGTTCGACAAGAATAGACAGCGAGCATATTCATGGCCTTGGGTAGGAAAATCTGATTGAGATTAAGAGATGGCGCGACGAGGCGCCCCGTCCAGCTCCCATCTCGTATAGAGGTTCTCATCGCTGGGCCGATAATGATCCACGCCAGGTAGCTGCGGGTAAACAAACCGATTGCGGCACATGCGTGTCGTGTTAGTGGCTGGCCTCCATCTCGCCCTGCTCAGCAACGCTGCGTCGACAGAAGGGCGTCTCTGCGGGGTGATACGACTAGATTTTTGCCTCGATCGGGACGCTATCTCCGATCAAGGCGCCGCAGACTGCTTGTTTTTGGGGATAACTTTGATTGGTTTAGGGCATGAGGCGCTGGGAGACCTCAGCGACCTAGGTACTTTCCCCCTGCGCCCCTGCGTCAGCGTGGTCAAGTCAGCGGTCGCTTGGCTTACTGCCCAGCGTCTATCCGCGCGCACAAGTTACATTCCATGTGTCGCGATGCGCGTAGCGGGGGCCGCTGGACGAGGCGAGTACGAAAGCCGGGATGGGGACGCCGTCAGGGCAGGATACGCCCGAGTAGAAGATGTGGGCGGCCGGGTCGCGTCGCCCAACCCACGGATGCCATTGTCGAAATAGCATTGCGGATAGCGCAGAGCCTCAACCGCTTGCTTACTGTTCCTGTGATGGCTGTGCCGGCTTGAGAGCATCACGCCCGGCAGTTGATGCCAATACGATTGATGACGTGTGACCCCCAAAGCATTCAGTCTTGACTGTACTCATGCCGCAACGTCCGATATTGTCTTGGCTTCGTAGTGTGTCGAATATTGGAATCGCGCAACACGGTGTGGTTATAAGTCTCTTGATGGCCAGGGCAACTTAGGGCGTTCAATATCTCCCAAGACATCGAATCATCAACAAGCAGCGCTCAGCTGCTCCAACATCTTCTACTACTTCATCCACAGAAAAGCACCAGAACACAGCCTTGTCACCATGCAGATCAAAGCCGTTTCTGCCATTTTCCTGGCCTTCCTCCCGATCTTGGTGTCGGCAGCCCCTTTTAGCCCCTTCAACCCCAGAACCCACGCCGGCGTGAGTCTCCCAAATCCTCTCTGCTCTAATGCGTGGTGACGGGGAATCCGCCTTGCTAACCTTTGATCTCCAAACAGACGTACAACAAATCAGAGGACGGGAAGTGCGTGTGCCGGCCGAAGGATCCAAATGCTATTCCCCTAGAGTCGCCGCCCGAGTCGAGGTTCCCCAGGGTTCAACCAAAAGCACCCTGGAAGCTCCCCGATCCAGTCTGCGACGGTGCGGTAAGTAACCCCATCCACTAGAGAGAGAGAGCGGGTCGCCCGAGCGACCAGCAAAGGAGGCTAACCGTAGAACTGCGTCCAGTGCGTTAATGGTGCAGACTGCATCACCCAAGAGTCTGTAAGTTTGGGGCCTGCATGTGGTGGCATGAACTGTCCAGGCCCAAGACGCAGGCTCGTGTGCAAGCCCAAGGCCGAGGGCACGAAATAGGGGCAGGAAAAGTCCGGCGATACAAAGGGCGCCGAGAGCAAGGGTCCGGCGGACAAGGCGGTGGGATAGTGGAAGCAGAAGCTGGCGGGCTCGCAGCAGCAGCAGCAGCAGTAGCAGCAGCCCGCGCAGCAGACCCCCAAGTGAGGAGCTTGGCGTCGCGGAGGCTTTGGTTTGAACCCCTAGCCTGTGGGGACTATCTTGTGCATGGGACCGCACGCGGGTTTGTTTGCTTGTGGCGTTGCGGCGTATTTGGATTTGGTGGCAAACATTGAGGTTAGCGAGGCGCTGTGCCATGGCTTCTTCCTGGCGCAATACTGCATTTTTTTCTCATCAACATCTTTCACTTCCCTCACGGTGGCGTGTTGTCCGCGACAACGGACCCCAGCCCTAAATTGATCTCTCCCAGCACAATGCGAGAATCGAGGCCACGAGGTGTAGGCCGGGAAGATAGGGATTGGATGGTGTAGTCGGTCAACACGTTGATCTTCTTCTCGACTCTAGCTTCGTTCATCACATGTTCTCTAAACTCTTTTTGGTTGCCTGTCTAGACGTCAGTGTAAAATGCAAAACAAGAAGCGAAAGCTCCCTCTCAACAAACACTCCATCTACCGAAAATGACCGTTTCCTTTTTGCTTCTCGCACAACTAGGTCCCTGGAGACCTCCATCCGATACCTGCTCCAGCTCTCCCCCATAGTCTCCAGGTATCTTTTAGCCACCAGCTCAGAGCAAAGAGCAAGGCTTGATGTGGGCGTGGATGCCGTTGGCGTTGGCCAGGGTGGAGGGCCCGTTGTAAGGGCCGTACAGGCTGCAGACGGGCTTGGCGCCGCCGGTCGCGAGGCTGGCGGCGTAGCAGTTCAAGCGGATCGCGCAGTCGTTGATGCAGGCGTCGATGGTGGTGGACGACGTTGTGGCGATGACGGTTCCGGTCGCCGTCTTGCCGCTGCAGTCGATGAGGAACTTCCTGAGGCCGCGTGTCGTGCACTTGTTCTTGTCCGCCGGGCACGAGACGGCCTTGTTGACGGCCACGGTGCCGGCGCAGTCGGCGCCCGGGCACTGCGCGCAGGTGCCGAAGCTGCTCTGGCAGCCCCAGTCGCAAAAGGCCGCGGTGGTGCCGCACTGGTTGTTCTGTCCGCTGTTGGGAGGGGGGAAAAGGTGGGTGGCTATGAGTTAGTGCGTGCCGTGGTTGTGGCCGTGGTACCTTGACCTGAAGTGGGGGACGGAGCTCAAGACGACTTACCAGCACTGGCCCTTGGGGCAGGAGGCACGGCTGCTCCCACCGCAGGCCTGGCCGGCAGCGGTGGAGGGTTTAGCAGGGTCGGCAGGCTTAGCAGGGTCGGCAGGCTTAACAGGGTCGACAGGCTTAACAGGGTCGGCGGGCTTAGCAGGGTCGGCGGGCTTGGTCGAGTTGGAGGCGCCCGGCGTGCAGGTTCCGAACTTGGGGTCGCACCCGTCGCCGCAGTAGTCGGCGCTGTCGCCGCAGTAGCCGTACGGGCCGCAGCAGTTGCCCATGCCCGAGTCGGCGCAGGTGAGGCCCGTCTTAGCGCCACAGGAGCCGTCGGTGCTGACCTTGGCCGAGCCGGCGCCGGCGCTGGGCTTGCAGGTGCCGTACTTGGTCTGGCAGCCCTCGCCGCAGTGGGTGGATGTGGTACCGCAGTAGTTCCAGGGGCTGCAGCAGTCGCCAAAGAGGGAGCCCTTGCACCCCTTGCCGTTCTGGGCGCCGCACGTGCCGTCCTGGCTGAGCGCCTCCACCTCGGGCGCGAGGGTGTCGCACTTGCCAAAGGCCTTCTGGCAACCCACGCCGCAGAACAGGGTGCCGGAGCCGCTGTTGGTTCACAAGCGTGCGTATTAGTACTGGGGGATAATCGGGAAGCTGCAGGCGAGGAGTGTCGGGACATACCACCACCCGTAGGAGCTGCAGCACTTGGTGTCAGCCCCGTCGGGGCACGTGTACTTGTTGGCGCCGCCGCAGCTCAAGTCGGGCGAGACGGCAGCGCTCGCCACGGTCACGAGGGCGGCGAGGGTGGCCACGAGTTTGAAACCCATTTTCAAGACCGAGCGGGTTGAACCGGGTGAAGAGTCAAAGGAGATGAAGCTCAGAGAGCAGAGAAGTAGTTCGAAGAATAGCTGAGAAGAGAAGATGGTGCAGGAGCACAAGAGGGGTTGACCAATTTGCAAGAGCAGATTGGTCTCAAGGAGAGGAGATTGCCTGTGTGTGGAGATGGTATCATGAATGGGATGAATAGGGCGGCCAAGGCAGCGCATTTATACATTAGTCCTCCCACCGTGATGCCAATTCCTGAATACATGCAAAGAACACCCTCCGCTGCTCCTCCAGGCTGGGCTTGATGCTTTCGCCATTACTATCTGGCCGAGGGAAGCCCTCTGTCAAAGCGCACGAGCCGGCGACGCCTGGCCGAGCTGACGGAAGGGTCGCTAAAAAGCGCCGACACAGGCGCCGGTCTTTTTGGGCTTCGCGCCCTTCCATGCCGAACGGGTCGGCCCTACCACCGCGAAGTGGTTCCTGGATGTTGACTTCATGCCGGAGGAATTGCAATCGCGACTAAAAAAAAGGGGGCGCGCGCCATGACTGGAGGAGCCGCCGCCACCGAAGTCGCACTCGCCGTGTAAGCCAAGGTTCGGCCGGAGAAAAGGCCCGACATCCAATCTGTCATGCTGGGGCTCGATCTTGATCTTGATCAAGCCCAGTCGCGCCTGATTTGTCGATAGCAATCTACTTGGGCAGTGGCGCCTTCTCGTCAAGAGGCGTCGGCGTAGTCGAGGGTCGAGAACACGAAAGCCCTGCCAGTTGCGCATCCCACAACCACTCGAGTGGCGGCGAGGCGCCATGGTTGGCCCGCCTCTGGTGCAAAGTTGAAGCTATCCGGAGCCGTGCTTGCTACCAGAGTCATAGGAATGTAAGCTTCGCTCCTGGTGAATTGGAATATTCATGGCCTCGGAGTATAGGTATTCGATCATGGCAGACCCCGGCACCACGATAGACGGAAACTTGACTTCACGCCAATTTAATCACCTCGGACAACTTTTGTCGGATCCGGCCCAACACAGACTTCACATCGCCGTCGTATCTGGAGCTGAGGGCAGGCTAGCAATCATGGCTTGCATGGATAGGCGGAAAGGGGCCGAGGACGGAAGCAGGCGAGAGGGGAAGGCGAGGTGGCGAGGTCTAGACTGGAACGTCGCTGGCACCTTGTTTTCTCTTGGGATCTGAAGAATGTTTCCTGTAGCTGTTCTACCCTACAAGGCCGCCACGAGCAGCCCGACAGCCGACGACTGGGCGCTCATCGACGTCCCGACGAACGGCCCCGCCCAGCGCAGCCCGTAGTTGCTGTCGCCGTCGCGGCCGGGCCCCGACGCGACTTGCGCGTTCTTACGCAAAAAGTCGCGGTACGGGTTCCCGTCCAGCGCTCTGTCCAGCTCGGCCAGGTTGCGGGCGAAGATGCCCTTGAAGGAGGACTGGTCAGCGTTGCAGAAGTCGCCGCGGTCCACCTCGCACGACTCCTTGAGCACGCCGTCGCCGCGCATCAGCTCGGGGCTCCGCATGACGGCGTCGGCCACGGCCCGCGCGGGCTCGAGGTAGGCCCCGTCGCCCGACGCGCGGCTCAGCTCGACCAGCGCCCCAATGACGGCGCCCTGGTTGTACGTCCATGTCATCTGGCCGTTGTTCCTGCAGGCCGCGTCGATGCCGTCGTTGACGAGCCCGTCGGCGTTGATCATGCCCGAGCGCCGGAACCACTCCCAGCCCTCGGTCGCGCGCTGCAGGTACTGCGGGTCGGACGGGTCGCGCACGGCGAGCGACGCCGCCAGCTTGACGTAGAGGGCGTTGCTGATGGCGTTCTTGTACGGCTCGCGCCCGGGCGCCAGCTCCTGTATCACGCCGCCGCCGCAGGCCGACGCGTCCCAGTGGCCGCCCAGGTACTCAAAGTCCAGCACGGCGATGTCGAGGTACTGCAGCTCGCCCGTGACGTCGTACATGCGCGTCAGGGCCAGCGCCCACCAGGCCGTGTCGTCGGTCGAGGCGGCGCGGAACAGGCCCGCGCCCTGCGGCCACGACGGCAGCACGCCCTTGTTGCGGTCGATGGTGTTGCGGGCCAGGGCCAGGTACTCGCGGCTGCCCGTCGCGTCCATGTAGTCGAGCACGCTGTGCAGCGCGTTGCCCGTCAGCCACCACGGGTCCGACGGCGACCAGAGGCCCTGGGCTTCGTTGTAGTAGCCGCCGTTGAGCCGGTCGATGGCCGACTTGGGCGTCTCCCGCGCGATGGCGCCCGTGTCGCCGCGCGCCGGATGCTGCTGCCGCTGCTGCGCGGCCGGCGCGGCGGCTGCCAGGCCAGCCAGATCCGCCCACGCGGTCAAGAGGAGTTTAGCGAAGATGATTTGCCGCATTGCAGTGGTGAAGAAAGCGAGTGAATGTTCCAAGGAGGTGGCGGCCTGCCAAGACCTCCCGCATGACCTCTGCGTGATGGACCATCTTTGGGCGCGCTTATAGCCGGACAGAACAGGGCGTCACCACTCCGGGCGTCCGGCGGCATTGAAAATCTTGTCGCCCTGTCGGCGGGAAATTCCGACTTGATGGCTGGCGGACAGCCCGAAAGACAAGGCGTCCATCCTGCATATGCCCGTGGAAATCCTATTTTCCGGACGATGATCCTTGTGTGCAAGTTCTAGCTTCAGCGTCACAGCGCCTCTCTTCCCGCCTGCGCAGAGCCTCTGGTCGTCCAATCATTTTGGTCTGACGGCAGCCTTCTGGCTCGGGCCTTTGCGATTAGTCTTTCCACATTTCCGGTCAGCTTCGGCTCCCACGACTGGGAAGAAAATGCTTGCTAGTACTTGCTGCCTGTCAGATTTTGGCGTCATGGTACCTTTGGCGTCATGTATCTTCCTCACACGCAGGTGGACTGTTGACACTTACGCGTATAATTTGTCAGTGGATAGTATCAATGACGCGGCACGCAAACCTCTACCTCAAACGAGGATAATCTCTTGGTGTGGCGTAGGCGTTGCCACTGCGGTGCTCTCGTCGTGGCCCGTGATTTGGTACGCAACACCGAGGCGTCTGTAGCAGGGAAGCTCGAGGCATTGACCCTGAAGCTCGGGTGGTCTCTCTACTAGCTCTACAGCCAGCGATATGCCTACCTTGCCTTTCGTGCGCCCACGAAGTGTCGAGGGGCTGTTCAGCGGGACGTGCCCAATGTGGAGCAGCTCGCATGCCATGGGGGCTGAGTCCGGGTCATCGAAAATTATAAAGCCACGTGAGCCGAGGATAGAGTGGCACTCGGATTTCTCCACGGAAAAGCCGTATCTGTAACCGCCTTTGTGATTGAGCATTTGGAACTCGGAAAGTGCTGAAGCAAACTGGGAGCGGGTAGCCTTGGTCATGGATGAAGAGAAGATCAAGGCAGATCGGTGGTGGCTGTCGTCATGCCCGAATTTGAGAATTCGGATGTCCTTTGTCCCCAAGTGACTGGAGGTCGGACGGTGGGGGATGGCATCAGGCTTGATAGGCCCTTCCCAATGGGCCCAGCTCCAGCTTGAGGCTACCGAGAGAAGCAAGAGTGCGTTAGGAAATGCAAAGTGTCCAGTGAGTGCTTATGAGGAGGCGAGTAAAGGATCCTATGAGATCAGACTTACCGCGTTCCAGGGAACTAACGCCTTTCGGAGCCTGAAGCCTTTGTTCGAGATTGTTTGCTATCCACAGCAGGGATTGCGGGAACGTATCCACAAAGAGCCCTGCCACGTAACCGTGCCCGTAAACCTGCTCAGCCTCTCGAGCGATGGAGGTGAGGGCCGGAAGCCGATCTGACGGATAGCTGATGCCCGAACGGGTGTAGGATTCCAGGAAAACACGCCAGGTGCGCTTAAGATGTTTAAGCCCTTTCCAGCGGTTGTCTCGGTCTTTAATGCCTCTCCCCATCATAGACTCGAGCCAGGGGAAGTTCTGGCCTGCCATGAACGTTTGGCACTGCCAGTAGACCTGACTGTTGGCAAAGTACACAATCCTGCGAGAGAAGAAGCGTTCTTGGAACACCCAGGCTCGGCTTTCCCATCGACTGTTTTGAAGATCGGCATAAAGATTTGACTTGCGTGTGTCGACTCCTGTGTGCATGCCGCCATGACGCCTGTGAAAAGGAATGGCAAACATGTCTCCTAGGTATCGGCCAGAGAATACGCAGGGGACGCGGGCCTCGAACGGAGACGAAACAACCTTGTTCGCAACAATTTTGGGCCTTTGGGCGTAGCACCCCTCCTCACCGCTGGATGCCGAGGCCGCGGCGATTGTCAAGGTTGCGCTGGCATATATCGAGCCCATAATGAGAATATGTCGTTTCCAATCATTCTTGTCGTCCTGGACTATGCACAAGGCATCAACCCATAGGTATTTCTGACCAACGCGGCGCGTAACATCGATGGCTTGCTGGATAGAAAGACATAGTTTGTCCACTGGGATTCGCTGGAGGAGAGACTGATAGTTGGAACTTGTTGTGCTCAGAAATTTGGTGTCTCCCCAACAGTAGCTCAATGCGCAAAAAGGTTCTTGGAGACTCCGCGACTCCACTAAACGAACGTTGCTCCCATCTGGGGAGATCTCTATCAGCCGTATCGGCGCCTGATAGTTCTTTTTCTTGCATGCTTCATGGTTTGATGTGCATACATCCAACCAGGATCTTATTGCGCGCATGGTCTCTTCGGAGTCTGGGGCGGCCGGAGCGCGGTTTGGGACAACATGAGATATCTCGTCTTCTGTTCTCTTTCATTCAAGTTACTCAAACTTTCCAACTGTATCTGCAGCAAGAGATATCAAAGCAGTAGCGGGTTTGAAAATACCTGGATCGGGGTTTCGGAGATACAGACTCATAATGCCAGCCAGGAGAAATTCTGGCCGGCTGGGGTCAGACGGAAGCTCTACTAGGATTTCGATGGCGAAGCCTGGGTTCCTCGAGTTACAAGTAGATGCCCGGCGCCAGGCTTCATCTCCAAACCAAGTAAAGCCGTCTCCGTTAACGCCACGCAGCCGAAGAAGAACTCTGCTGTTGTGTGGAAAGCTCGAGTAAAGCCCCATGAGACGTTTGGGTGGAAAGTCCAGCAGAGGTCGAAGACCGGACTCTCTGAAGTCTTTTATGGCCTGGTCCATGACACGACACAGGTCGCATGTCTGATAGTTCTTGGAAATGCCACCAAGTCCGTGGGTTAAAAGTGTCCCGCCGTGGTTGCTTCTGGAATCGAGCTGGCGCAGGTGTTCCATGTCTATTTGCGCACATGTCGGACAAAGCCGGTCGCCCAGGGCGTTGCCTTGGGGCCAAGGAGGGGGCTGTGAAGGTGCGTGTGGCTCAATGGTACGTGTGGCGCGGATTGGCAAGATACCGTAGCTGCCGTACGCCGCTGAGCTGAGGATCGTGCGAGCTTCGTCCATTCTGTTGCTTTGAGTGGTGGAAGAAAGAGGACGTTTGGTGAACTCGGATAGTTGGAGGTTGATTTTTCATGGAAGCACGGCGGGGTCATCAAAACCAGGTGTTGGTTGGTCTAGAGGAGGGGTAGTTTTGCCGACAAGAAGCCGAGATATATTGCCCAATCCCCATATTTCATCTACCGCCCCCGAGCTTGTCTACATCCGGTAAAAAGGGCTTATAAACATCAAAATGACATACACACGAGGAATTCCGCCACTAGGCCTCCCAAGATGGCCGCCGCCAATGAGCCGGTACCCCTGGAAAACCACGCCCAGCAGCTGGCCGCGCTGTCCAGGTCCACGGCAGCCACCATCCAGCCCACCGACGCCAGCGATCCCCGCCACGCTCACCACCCCGTAAGCCGGCCCCATCCCCCCCATCCCCCCAGCCGTCCGACCGCCGCCAGCGTGACGGCCATGCAGCCGACCAGAGCCCATAGCTGCGCGCGTGTGTGGCCGGCCAGCAGCACCGCCATGCTCTTGACCCTGATCACGCGGTCGCCTGCTAGGTCCAGGCGCGCGTAGGCGGTGTCGTAGACCATGACCCACAGCGCCGACGGGTCCCGCCACGGTGCGCCCGCGGCCCCCGCGGCCGCGGCGCCAACTACGACGGCCCACGACACCGTGAGCCCCAGCACCACCTGCGCCAGGTTGCGTGTGCCGCTTGGCCAAGGGGTACTAGGCCAGCCGGGCCGGTTCCGTGTGCGCGCGATCTGGCGGTCGACGAGGTCGTTCCACGTGTGGGTGGCGTTGCTGTAGAACAGGGAGCCGCCGAGCAGGACGGCGGCGGCGCGGGCGGCGGCGCAGGCGTCGGGCGGCAGGCCGTGCTCGTGGTGCTGGCTAATGGCGCCGTGGAGGTCGAAGAGGCGCGGGATGTAGATCAGGAAGACGCCGGCGGCTGGCGGGTTGCCATGGGATAGCTGGATGTATGGGAGCTAGGCGGCTGGGACGTAGTCACCCCACCCGCCTGGAGCATTCTTTCCGCCGTGATAGTGCTGGGGGACATCAGGGTGCGGTGGCTCTGGCTTGGCGCCAGCGTGCTCGGCCATTTGGGCTGCTGCTGTCGACGACTTGCTTGACTCCCAATGGGGTAGACGAACACAGATTTAGGAGAAGGAGATGCTGCGAAATCAGTGGATTCATACACAAAGCAGCAATGGACCAGCGGTTCCGAAGCGGCCTGAGGGGGTCGCTTTATGATTGTGGTTGAAACACTTTAATTTGTCAACGTCGGCCCTTTTCGGGCGGATTCCAGGAATCCGGCATCCTCAAACCTAGGCTCTTGCCAGAACGGTATGATATGAGGCCTCATTTCCATGAATGTGTATGTCAAACTACAGTGTCTGCATCTGCAGTGCTAACCTAGTGTAACCAGCCAGTCTTGAGTTGCAATCCTTCCAACAGTTTCAAATCCCACTAATCATGCTCTCAAACATCTGCCAGAGAAAGTCCGACTGCGGCCATGTCTCTCCCTCAACCGTGAGCCGGGGCTGCGCGAGGCTACAGCAGCTCAACTCTGGCCCCCCAAGCTTTCGCCATCTCGTCCACGAACCACTCATATGCCTGCTGGTCCTGCCCTCGCAGAAACTCATCGGTCGTGGTCTCGTGCCTTTGGGATAGGAGGCCGTCCGACTCGCCAATCTCAAAGTAGGGAAATATGGGCAGGCTCGGGTTGGTGGCCAGCCTTGTCATCACGGCCGCGTTCCGCCTTTGGATCGGCCATCTGCTGCTCATCCAGTAGCTGTGGTCGTCGCTTATTTTCCACCTGACGGGCTTCAAGGTGAAGTCGGCAAGGCCGATCTGCGCGAGCGAGTTGAAGAACTGGGCCCACGAGATCTGGTGGCCGGTGTTGTGCTGCCTATTCCAGTCCCCTCTGGCCTCGAGGATTGTGAGCGACACTCGGCCCAATGCGGTCACGAAGGCCAGCAGTTGGCGTGTGATGAAGACGTTGGCGAGCTCGATCTTGGCAAGACGTGGCATGTGTGATGGTTCCCATAGCAGCATGTTCTGGTCGGGAAAGTCTTGGGATAAAGCACCAGCCGGCGAGGTACTGTGCGCATGGAACTTGACCGTTGTGACCGACGGCCAGGTCCTCATGATGGTCCTGTTGAGATAGCGCATGAGCCTGAAGTATGGGCGCTGAAAGATGGTGCTGATGTCGTCGTCGTCGTCGCCGTATACGGACATCTCCAGCTTCTCAACCAGGGCGGCGAACCGCTGCCAGTCGTCCGAGGCGAGCACGCGCGACGGGTGCAGCGGGAAGTTGCCGAGCTTGAGAGAGGTGATGGGACTGAGCCCCAAGAGGAGGTCCGTACTGCCCCTCGCCGCCGCTGCTTTGAGGATCGCGTCGACCAGCTCGTTGTTGGCTTGGAGCTGGGGCTTGCCCGCGCTGGTGTCGCGGTACATGTCGTATATGGTCTGGTAGGTCTTGGGGAACTCGAGCGCGAGGCCCTCGAGGTTGGGGAGCGGAAGAGGGACGCCCGTCTCGTCTTGGCCGCTCAGTAGGGCCACGCAGCTTGCCGGGATCGCGGGCGGTGGGATCGTGGGCGGAGTGACGTAGTGTTGGCCGTCGATCTCGTCGACGTACACGGTCAGCTTGCGCACCTGGCTGCCGTACCTCGCGGCCACCAGCAGGGCCGAGTCCGAGGCGGCCCGACTGCTCCAGGTGAGCGAGAGGGACTTGAAGATCTTGGCCTCGTCGATGCCGAGGCACCGCAGGCGGCGATCTGTGCTGCTAAGCCGGATCTGGTCGGCAAGTGAAAGTTTCTTGTACACTTTTATGAGCAGCCCGTTCGGAAGCTTGTAGAAAGTAGGTGCCATGGCGGCAGTAAGGCTCAGTAAGGCAGATTGGGGCTAGGTTGGCGAGGGTGGCTTTTAAGGCGTAGGATAAAGTAGCAAACGAAGATTTAACTGCAAAAACAACGAATTTTTATTGTGTTGATAGTTAATTTTCTGGTGTGCTCGCATGGTAGTGTAGCGAATCCGCTCCTGGCAGCTTGCTGGGGTAACCACTGGCAGAACTGGTGGCTCCTTCCATGCTATACCGATTTTTAACAGCAACCTATGCCTGGCACCAAAGCCAAACATTGCCCCATTTACAAGCGGATTTAAAAAGGCGAATCCAGTTTAACAGAGCATCCTACGCCCGTAACGTCCACAGTTCTTATCAAAAAGCACATCATATCCATCACAGCCAGATGCAAGATATCATTACGAGCACCCACGAGTTGTCCTCGCACGCAAACCGCATCCCAGCCCTCGGCGTCTGCCACACACCCCAACCCAGACGTGCCGCGCGAACAAAGAAGATGATTCCGCTTTGAGCCCTCCCCATCTGGAACAAACGAGTCTTGTATGTCCGCAGCTGCGACAGCAGGCGGCTGAACTCGGTCTTGGGTCCTCTGATGACTATGGGCTTGGCTTTGCGGAACGCGGCGTCCGTCACAGCGAGCACACCCATGTCCCTTTGGCGAGGAGGACGGGTATACTACCATCTACTGATCTCGTGGCAAGTGGATGTTCCCGAAGGACGAGGCTACGAGCCCTCTGGTTAGCTCATCCTTCCCCTGCAAACGATCATCTGTGGCACTTGGAGGATATTTCACGATGTTTATAAACAGACGTACTGACCGATCTACCTATACACGAATATTAGAGACCATGAGGCCGAGAAATGAAGTCCACAAAACGCCCAAGACAATGCCAAGCCGAGTTCCTGCCAACGGGAATGCCCTCCTCGTCCTTCCGTCTAAGTCAATGCACACCCTGTCGACGCACCCCCCTTGTTGACGCACTTTGTAAGGATCCGATCAACACCAAACTTACTACATTTAACTGCAAATTTCTACCTCTATTCAAGCAACCTCGATGCAAAATAAAGCTAATTCCTGATTAAAATTTTCCGGGCTTTTAAACGCTGCATCCATTTCCTTTTCAATTGCACCCTTCGTCTTTGCAACGCGCCGGATATCCACAAAGGTTTCGTTGGGATTTGTAGCTACCCTTTTCCTTTTGCAAGGCCGCTATGCTTCCAATTGGGCTTCCAATTGCTTAATTTTTTAATGGGCGGTAGCCAAATCGTATTTGCGGGTGCTGTAGCTTTTTTAAAGCTTTTTAAAAAAAAACCGGGTTGTAAGGCTTGCAGGTATCCGGGCTTGTATAAAGCTAATTTAAATGGCTAACTTTTTTAATCGTTTAGGGGTTTCCTAAAGTATTTGAAATGCTTGGAAAAGGATTGTTAAACGTTATTTGGCCTTGTTATCTTTTGCAGCTTGTTAAATTTCGGATTGTTGGTTGTTTAGGCTAAAATTGTTAAAGACAAAGCGGTTTATAAAGGGTTTAGCTATATTGCGAGGCCAAAGGCTGAACGCCCGCTACCCCGCCTTTATATTAAAGGCAATAAAAGCTTTTAATCGTGCGTAAGCATAAGCCGTTAAAAATTAACGTTTTCTTACCATTGTTAAGCAGGTAAATAAAGCTTGGAAGCCGATTTTTTGGCGGTAAGCCTGTTTAAAAGGGCTAAAAATTGATAGGTCGAAAGGCTGCAGTACGTGCGAAGTATGGGCGGGCAAATATAAAAAAAAAACGTTGTTCCGTAAGCAAAAAAATATAAATTTTTTGGTAACGTGCGATCCGTGCCCATTTAAAATTAAGAAACGGGCTTTAAAGGTAAGGGGTTGGGTGCGTGGGAAAAATACCTTTTGCAGCCATTCCAAGCCCGTAAAATCCGTGGTTTAGCCGTTATTTGTAGCAATAAATTCCTAGCTTTGGAAAATGTTACGGTACGCGTCGGGGCACCTGGGGAGGAACTTAAGGCCGCACTTTTAGCGCGCCAACGTTACGCTTACAAAACCGCAACAGAACGCCAAGAACGCTTTGCCCAAATAGCTTCCTTTTCGTGCAATAACAAAGCCTTTTTTATAACAATAAAGTATAAGCCGTAGCAATTTATTGCACTTTAAATTTTCGGAACCTAATATTAACATGTTCCGTTTTTTTTTTGCCAATAACTTTGTAAAACGGTAATATACCTTTTTGCTTACGATTAACCAACGTCGATACTTACCCCAAATCCTGCCGTATAATTTCGGAAAAATACTTTTACTTTTCCGATTTAGCTTTTTTAACCAAGCAACCCGCTAGCGAATTACCGCCGCGGTTATATTATGCCCACCGTACCTAACGCCCCCGAAACGGGCTTTTCGGGCCCAACAATAACAATTTTACAAAACGCCGTTTTTTTATTCCTAACTTTGCATTTTATACGCAAAGCAATTTAAAACGACCCTAGCAATTACGCCGCTTTATATTTCGCTTTGCATTTAAAACGTTTTAATAAAGCCCAAACCTAATTTAAACATATTTTTCGGGTTATAAAAACCCGTTTTCGAGCCATTAACGAATTGCTAGCGATATACCGCCAAAATGCCGATATCGTTTACGCTATAATTTCGAATTAAAAAATAACAATTTGCAAATTTCGAATTTAAATCCAGCAGTTATTTAGCCAAACCATGCTTATATTAGTTACAAATACGCCTTTTTTAGCGCAACCTTTTGGGGCCGCCGCGTTATCGCCAGCAATCCGCCCCCAAACGGTTACTTTCGAAATTTTCAAAAGCACAAAGGTAAACCAAATTTAGCGATAAAAGCATTATACTAATTGGCGCTTTTTGCTTAAGGTATAAATAAAATTATACCGGGCCGCCTTTCCAACGTTATTAAAACGCGTTCTTTTTTTATTTTAGCATTTGGGCAATAACGCTTTTGCTTTTATAAAAATAAAAATTAACCAAATTGTTACGGCCGGCAATAACGTTTTCCAATGGCCCGTTGGCTAGCGTAATTACCCAAACGTTATTAAAACGCTGGATTAAATTTACATTATTACCAATATATTAGCAAAAGCTAATCGGAATTTCGAATTATTTGCCCAAAGCAATTCCTTTTTCGGCAATTTTATCGGCAACTTTATTAAGTTTAGCAATATGTACAATTTGCTTAATAACTTACAAATACTGGCTTTTAAATAAAAAATAAACCGTTTATTGCATAAAACCATTACGTTAATTATGGAACGCTTAAAACCCGATAACTTTAAAGGGTAAATAAATTTATTCCGGAACCTAACCAATAATATCGCTAACAACATTTTCCGGGGCAAGCAAAACGCTAACGCTTATCCTTTAGCACGCTATCCCAACGCTAACGATGCGCCGGAACCGGCTTAGCATTTAAACGCTATAAATTTTAATAAAATTACGATAAAGCCCCAACCCCCTTTTACTAACGCCCGAAAAGAATATAAGCGCATTAATAACTTGTGCTTTTATTACGGCGGGGCGGGGCATTAAACAACCGCTTGCACAAAAAAAAAAAAGCCAAAAAAATAAGCTTTAGGTACAATCGCTTTTAAAGCCATTGGCATTTTGCCGACAATTTCCCAAAAAAAATAAAAGTGTATTTACATTTAATAAAACCCAATTTTACTTTTTTATTTTACAGCAAATTCCTTGCCGAAAGAACGTTACTAACCCGGTACCGTACCCTTTTAAATACCGGATGTTCCCCATAAGCATTTATCGACAATACCTTTGCGCATAACCATAACTTGCTACGTTTTGCCTTGCCCAAGCCCATTTTTTTAAAATTAGCTAATGGCAAAGTTACGGGTTATTTTCGCAAATGCGTTAAAATGCGCCACCGCATTGCTTGCCAAACAAAAACGCTTACCATATACATTTAGCCATTGGGAACGGAAAGCCTTAACATTATATTAAGGCTTTTTTGGCTACGCTATTATAACCTTTACATTAATTAAATAGCGGGTTTAATAATTATACATAATATTACGTTATTAAAATTAAACCCGAACGCTAGCAACCCATTACGCAATCGCTTAAAAAACGATAACAACAAATTCGATCCCGCAAATATACGCATGCTTAACGCTCCCAACTTTATATTATTTTGCAAATAAAAAGGCGTGCAATTTAAACGAATAACCATAGCGGAATTTTACGCTAAAACTTGCCCCAAACTTTTAATACCCCCAGTAAGCGCTAACCAATTCGTTAACGATACGCTAATGGAAATCCTTCGCTTTATTTTAACTTTGTTCGATAAAATCCTTTGGAATATGCTGGAATTACGCTTAACCGCATTTTAGGATTGGGTCGAAAAAGCATTACACTTTTAGCGCATTTCCAACGATAATATTTAAAAATACTTGGATAGCAAACCCCCCGTTACGATAAAAGAAATTTTACAGCGCTTTTTTTACGAATTCCGCAATTTAACGTTATGCTTTTTTCCCCAAAACGCCGACAAATTGCTACCGTACCGCCTTTCCAATTACAAAATCGAGCTATTTCCAAGCAAAACGCCTTTTTACCATTATAACAAACTTATATTCCAAAAGGAGCTTTAAATTGTTAGGAAATATTTAAACGAATATTTGGCGAAAGGCTTTATACGCGATAATATATCGCTAGCGGTTGCCCCGGTTTTTTTAGCAAAAAAGCCCGGGGGGGGAATTCGCGTTTGTATTAATTACCGGGGTTTAAATAACGTTACCGTAAAAAACAGGTATTTTATCCTTTTAATTAAAAAAATATTAAACGCCTTTTCGAAAGCCAAGTACTTTACCAAATTAAACATTATTGCGGCGTTTAACCGCTTACGAATCGCTTTAAAAAACGAATGGAAAATAGCGTTTATTACCAGGTTCGGCCTTTTCGAATGCTTGGTAACGAATTTCGGCATAATAAGCGCCCCCAATTCCTTTTAGTATTATATTAACCGTACTTTGTTAAATGCAT